GCGACTTGCTTAAAACGGTTGCTCATCAGGCTGTAAGAAAAACTGACGATAGCCGACTTCTGCGATCTTTGTCTCTCCCTGGCCGATCGGCTTTCCGAGTTCCCATCTCTGGGCAGGTATCGTCAGAACCAGTAGTATAGGGGCCTCAGTAAATTACCTATACTATCTTGGGGGGTTCCTTATTCTAACTATAGTATAGTATACCCCCAAACCCTAGTGCCCCTCGCGCGAAGCAGCGAGCAATCGAGTCCGGAGCTTCCAATTCCTCTCCGGCGCACGATCCGAGGCTTTTGGAGCAGCACCTCATCAGCCGAATCAAGCACGCGCGAAGCCGGGGGCCCCAACCAGAGTTTGGGAAGTTTGGGGTCGAATCCAGAGCTCATAGGAAAAATAAAGCCTTGGATTCATTCCGCCGCAACACGGTTTCGGGATTGTGTATCAAGAGGGTTCCCAGAAGAGGTCCGTGTGCAGGAACAGATCATCTGGCATACAGGACTCTTCCGTTTCCTGCAGTCTCCGTGCCAACAATTACCAGCATCAACAGGGCTGCGAAGGATCCAGACGGTTTGAACTTAGGGCAACAGGGTTCCTGCGGCGAAGCTTCAACAAACTTAACATGATGAGCTGTTAAACTACCGGCGGATTGTCGACATGCATTCAGCGGACCAGACAGTGGTTCCAGTATTGGCCTTCAGCACCGGGGCCCTTCATGAAATCCTCCGTCTCAGAGTCGAGCTTGTGCAAGAAGTATCATACTGCTAAGTAGAACAGAAACGAACAGAATATATTCGTAGCAGTACGCAGAGAATCATCAGAATCATGCTGCCAGAGTAGGGATTGAAAGGAGCAGGTAAAGAGATCTTCGGCGTGAATATATTATCAAGTCTTTTCCTGCGGCACACTCGCCCGAAATCTCGTGCAAACTATTGCACATCCACCAGTCGACTTTGCACACACACACACACACGCATGTGTGTATATATATATATATGTCATATGATACCAGGTATATGATATTATACTATACTACATTCTTGTATTAGTAGTATATCTTATGTGTGTATATATATATATATGTATTTATATGTTTATTCATATTCTAGTTATGAAGGCCCTTCTTTTTTTAATCTTTTCCCAGGCCGGAGACCGGTCGGCCACGAGCTGCCGGAACCGCAGGCCGGATCCGGGTCTCTTCCTTTGGAGAGCTGAGCTTAGAGCTATCGTTAGGGTTTAGAGGATTAGGGGTTAGGAGTTGGGGGTTTAGGGTTTGGAGGTGAGGGTTTAGGGGTTGGGGTTTAGGAGTTTAGGGTTTAGGGGTTAGGGGTTCAGGGTTTGGGGGTGAGGGGGGTTAGTAATTGGGGTTTAGGGGCTAGGGTTCTCGAGTTGGGTTGGCTTGGGGGAAAGTGGTACAACCTACATGATCTTCTGCAGCATGAGACGCTGCGGGTGCACCTAGAGCAAGATTCAAGAGTTCTCCGCTGCCTGCGCACATCAAAGTGTTAAGTGTCAGAGCAACATGATGCAGAAGATGCTTGCAAGGTTTGCGAGCTGACGCTTGTCCGCGACTACAACGGCAGGCTGCGCCGGCATGTGGTGAAGTTCTCGGAAGAAGGATCCACAGAGCATGGACCAGTTGACGTAAGTCTCTTGTTGTGACTCAGGGTTTCAAGAAACATATCTTTGAGTTCGTGGCATCCGGACAGCTGTCTGTATTCTATGTGTCTCCAAAAGCTGACGGATAGCAGGCTTCATGAGCTGAAAGATCGTGCAGATTTGGTGCTTCGCCGAGGGCCTGGCCATGCAGTCGTACAGCGGGTAAAGCATTGCCAAGCACAAAACCCTGCAGCGCCAAACCCGCAACATACTAAAGACGGGCGATTTCGTTCACCGCAGCTGGAGTCAAGGCACTGAGATCGCAGAGAAGTACAGCGAGAAGTCGGGGCAGCTCAGCAGCATCGATATAATTCAGCTTGAATTTACTGGCCTCAATATGTCAACATATTTCCTCTGCTACCCCCAAATGTATTTAGATACGAGTAGACAGATAGATATAGGATATAGGCATATGTTGGTAGCATACCTGTAGTACATAGGCTGGCATTTCCCAACTTCCCATCTGCACCCTTGATCCCTTCGAGTGGCCTCTGAGCCGGGCCTTTGCAGAACCTTGAGGCACGGTTGATGATATAAATCTTGCATTACCTTAATGACCCTAGACTATGGAAATTATGGTACATTCCTTATTATGGGTGATGCAGGACTTATGTCATCAACCGCATCATGGCGTTGAGGGATTATTTTTCGGCCTGAATCCTGATCTTCAGGACTGGGATCTTTTCGGGTCTAGAAAAACAAATTGCCTAATCCCTAAGCGCTACACCATAAATGTACACTATACTACATATAATATAATATGATATATATATATATATATATATATAAACAAAAATAGATATAAGCCCAATTCCGACCAATTCCGCTGAGGAAAGCAGGGCGCCTGGATAAACTGAAGGGCCGATTGGAGCCGCAGCCTCAGGGGGAACGCCAAAGGGTTCATCTCTGAAGTGCCCCTTGCATTGCATTCTGAAGGTCCGAAGAGTTTGTAATGCCATATGAAGGGGGCTTCATTTTGATGTGTCAAAGCCCTGCAGGCTTTATCATGTTGCATGGAACTGTTATGCAGCTTTAGAGGGGTTCGCAACGTCTCAAGGCTTTAGAATAGGGCTCGAAGGGTCCCGTGTACCAAAAGAGTTTGAAAGAGTTTGTCACACTGCCAGGGATTGTAGTGCTTGAACTATGGTTCCTAATTAGGGTTCAGACAGTACTCCATGTGGGGAGCGTTCCCTCATGGATATTGCAATTTCAGAGGGTTCTCAGAAGGCAAAGGGGCTCAAGGGGTTGTGTTCTGGGATCAGGGCTTGGGGTTTGACGGTGTTGATAGACCGCCTTCCACAGTCACACGGGATTAGCAACGGTTGGGTCATCTCATGTCATGACGTGAAACCCCAGGACGGTACATCCTCCGTCCAGAGCCTCCCAAACAGCAGAGGTGGAGCAGCCTGGAGCCCTAAAACCCCTAATTGAACCCTTTCCCATAGCCCCTAAACCCCATCCCCTAAGGAAGCTGAACTTCAAGCTGGGAACGAAGCTGGAAGCGGAAGAGGAGCTACCGGTCGCGCGAGCCTAAATACTGGCGGAGTGTTGCAAGCATGAACGAGCTTGATAACATGAACCTGACTGGGGATGATGATGAACAGCATCATCATGATCATGATACGACAATGATGTTGACGATGGCGATGGCGGCGGCCACGACGACGATGATGATGACACAGCAGGTTTTGCTCGTGCTGGTGGCGGCGGTGCTGCTGCTGCTGGTGATGATGGTGACGATAGAGGCTGTGGCGACGCTGACACCGGTGGTGCTATCGAATCTTGATTCCGGTGATACTGAGTGTGGACGATGTTACTGTTGTTGTTGTTGTTGTTGTTGTTGTTGTTGTTGTTGTTGTTGTTGTTGTTGTTGTTGTTGTTGTTGTTGTTGTTGTTGCCCTTAGTTAGTTTTCAGAATTCGACAACAACAAGCACATACTGCAAAATCATCCTCATCAGCATCCATCATCATCTGCCACCGTCGCTTTCATCATGACTGTCAGCATCAGTATCTTTATCTTTGCGACATTCAGACGCCCTCAACCTCTCTCATTCCTCTACTGCAGACGGCCTCGAATCCTCAAAGCCTGAATTGCAAAACCGAAGTTCCTCAGGTGCGGGCCTATGCCATCCTCCAGTGCACTGAGGACGTGTCTTGGCGGCCAGAGCCCATCATTCCCCAAAGTCAAGGGCTCCTCGCCACGTCACGGCTCCCAAAACATAAAATCCTTAAACAAACCCTTATGGGACCCTTAAAGGAACCCTTAAAGGAAGCCTAATATGGATCAGAGGTTGCCAACTTGCTCTTCGACTACCGTGCGAGCCTGAGTCAAATTCTCTCCCCCAGTGCCCGTCTCTGTCGGAGTCTGGCACCTGGGTGTGCAAGACTTCATGAATCGAATCTGGACAACTGGGTCAAGGGCCCACACTTTATTGGTGCCGTCGTCCTGCTGCGTTCGGCACATCTCGCGACCCTGAATGTTGACGTCGGTGCGGCTTGCACCTGACTGACAGGCTTTGCAAACTACAAGCTCTTCAAGTGCTGCCAGTTCAAGGCTAGGCGATTTCAAGGTGTCGGCCTGAGCTGTGGGCTTTAGGAGGATCTATGGTTTGGTTTGCTTGCCTCTCCCTGGAAGATAAGGCCGGTAAGTCACAGAAGTGAAAAGTTCGTTTCGTGAAGCCCTGAAAACTCCGAAGCAATCCTCGAAGTAGTTCAAGGAGTCGGGGAAGTTTCATGGTAGGTACTTAGGAAGCATCGATCCGGTTAGATTATCTTGAACGGTTTTGCGCCATCGCCGAATTCTTTGCCGCAAAAGCTTCGGCCTGCTCAGGCAATGAGACTGGACAAGTGTAGTCAGGCAAGATTCGGATGTTCCACGAGTTGTTCACATAAGAAGGCATAACAGTATCCCTCGAACCGACCCCCGCAGATTCGAAAACACGCACTTTGATTTGGGGGAGAGCCACAGATTCCTCCCGCCTCGATCGCACCGGATTCCTGCGAACATGGACGGCCGATGATGTTGCTAGATCTGCAGGGATGTGGAAGGCGCGTTGTCTCGGAAGCCCAGGTTAGTCGGGAGCTTCATCACCACTCGAGTAGACCATAAGACTTTAAGTAGCACTTGATACTTCATAAGACTGGGTTGTTCTGATTGCGTGATGACGGGTTCTGCAGGCTTTGGGGCAGGCTTCGGGTTGACTCGGAACAGCATCACTGTATCTCCCAGTCCATCCTTGGAAGCTCATTCAAAACTGGATTTTCGTACTTCAGAGCTTGTCCATTTTGCATCACCCTCTGCCCGACTTCAAGCCGTGAACCACCGCAGTAAGACCCGCAAAAAGGGATGTGGTCCGCCTTTGCAAGCTCCGAAGCCTCAGCCCGAGTCTTGCTGACCCCAGCAAATCCTTCAGAGACAGAAAGAAGACCAACACAACCACACTTCTTCTGTAGGCTGACCTGGCTGCTGTGCGTGGCCTTGGCCGCTGCGGATGAGTGCGCACTCCGAACGGACTGCGCGGCCTGCCAGGATCCGCTGTGACCGACAGCTAGCGGACAATGGCGAACTCTAGTGTTTTCACGTTACAAATCCTTGCATCGCAAGAACCTTGCAGAGCGGCAACTGCGTGGCTCAGCGGATTTCAGCGGGGTCAGTCAATGGGATCGAATGCAATGTGATAAATCGGGCCCATAAGTCACGGATTCAGATTGTGTACCTCAGTTTCTCATGGAAGCGATCTGTCCTACCACTTGCGGACAGACATCCTGTTCTTGAGTGTCCGTCAGGAGCTTTTTCCGGCCTGCACGTGGTGTAGCAGCTCGGGTTTTTGCGCCTCCACGCCAGAGCCGATCACTGCTTACCTGTTGGAAAACCCATCGAGCACGCAGCTCGCCGGTGAATTTGGAGCTGTTGTGCTCTCCGGGTCTTTGTGGGCTCGTTCTTGAAAGGGGTTGAAGGGATGTTGTCAAGACGGAAAGGTGACTCAGTCGCTCTAGAAAAACAAATGGTGAGCACGATCCAGCAAATCAACGTTTTCCCCGGTCGACCGTCTTGTTTCAATTCTGCTGAGCTTCCGAACTTCCAGATGTCCCACATCCACTGAAGAGGGACGTTTCCTCAAACGATACTAGCTACTAGTTGCAGGGATCTTCCATGAGGAAACGCTCCTGTAGCTCAATAATTATGATGTATATTATATACTCGTGCTCTATAGCGATAATGTACCTGATCCATTGCATACAATTTGAGGATCTTGGAACGTCTCTGTTTTACTCAGGTTGGTGCGTTATTACGCACTGCTGTCGTACTCGACTGCCGAGTTCGAAGCCAGCTTTCCCGACGGCTTTCAAGCGCGAGAGCAGCTTGACCTTGTTACTTGTTACTATGACTACGAGGACGATGATGATGATTATGATTCAATGATGGATACTACTAATATCAGGATCATCATCATCATCATCAGTGTTACTGTCCTTCTTATTGTCAAAATTTATTTGCCAGCATCGCCGTTGTCTGCGCCCTTTCATGTCAGATGCTACCCTTTAGTGTAGCGGATTCTCCTCTTGCAGAGCTGACTGGTGAATTCAGATTGCAATCCAACTTAGTTGCAAGGAGGCCAGGAGTACCTGCCGATTCTGCAATAGCTCTAGCCTTCAGCACACCACAAGTACAGGCTTGGGTCCGGGCGCGTGTGGGAGCCAACAGCAGCCTTAGCCGGTCTCAGCAAGTGTAGCTGGACAGCTCAATAGTAATTAGTAATGGCAACTACTGAGTGGCTCTGCCAAGCATAAACATAATCGTTCATAACCGGAGTTACAAATCGCCACCAAACCCGCACTCATCATCGTGTCAAGACAGTGCATGTTCAGGCACTTCCTTTTCCTCAATGACACCAGCTGTGGCCTCTGGCTTAACGGCCGGATGTCCTGTTTTCTGGACCGTCCGAGTGACCTGCCGAACTGGTCTCCCTGCGGCCTGGCAGCAGTATTGTGCAGTTGTACTCTGGGGTCCTTGGACAAGAGATTGGGGTGTTGGGGTATATCATACTGTAGTGATAGTCAGGAGCCCCAAAATGGTACTGTTTTTTGTTTAGGTCCCTATGTTGGTGCACCAGAAATCGATGCTTGATGAGGGAGGCATTTGAGACTGACTGCTGCAGTGTCGCGCTCAAGCGACCCGCACATTTTAAGGAGAATTCAGCTTGCTCCCACGGAACCCACTTGCACACCAGTACAAAATTATGGGGGATCTCGACTCTGCTTGTTGGAGTTACATACATCATGGTTGCCAGGATGCTTTTGGTACTGGTAGGAAGGTGCTGGTCGGCGAGCGCGATCATCCTCGTTTTGGCTGTGTCGTCATCATTGTCCTTGTGCGGTTCTCCTCTGAAAGCGAAAGCCCAATGCCACCAGCCAGAATAGGTAGTAGCCCGGGAGTAGCCAGCTTGAAGATCCCACTCTCGCACTGCATACACGTTCCTGGTTTCTTGTATGATGCTTCATGATGTGCTGTTATTTTATTGTTGATGACGATGGCGCTGATGATATGTCACAGCCGTCATAGCCGGCGTTGATTCGCACATGGACAGCGCTGTTCTGTTGTTTAGCCATCGGCCTTGCAGCAGATGTGTCCTAAGGCTACAACCTTTCCATCTCCGAGTGCTTGGAGGCCGACGTTATCCTCACTGAAACGTGGGGGCCCAGACAGGAAACCCTAGGCCCTGGGCCAAAAGAACAAAATCAGACGAGACGTGACAGGGAGGCAAAGCATGGCAAAGCTATGTGCAGGTGCAACACGAGAACGGTGGCTGTGGTTATTGCCTCGGCCCGGATGGCGGATGCCTCCCAGGAACGAGAAGTGGCAAGGCTTCGGGGTTCGATGTGGGGACCTGGGCATGCTACCATGCCTTGTACGGCTTGGGCTACGCGGCGCGGCTACTCGTGCCGTCAGGGTTCTGGTTGAAGTTGAGAGCCCATCGAAACCGATGATTTTGAAAGTTATCATGGCATGTTAGTCCTGAACAAACGGTGTCTTCGTAACTGCAGCCCCGTATTTGCGGATTGGTTCAAGAACTGCTCTATCAGTATTGGCGCTGGCATACAGGCGAAGCGAGACGGAAGAGTTCTTCTCTGCGCCCGCCCCCAAAAGCAACACACTCTTAACCTAGCAAGTCAAAGCCCCCCTGCCAGAGACTCCTGGAGGTCCGCTTTTGGGGCTCTCCCCGACCTCAACAGGTTTACTTCACACCCTGAACCTGCAACCTTGAAGCTCCTGATCCTGAAGCCCGAAGGCTCTGAACCAGGGGCCCAACAGAGAGGCTTCCGTTCTTGAATCTTGCTCTCGCAACTGAGTTCAGGGGAAGGGCTTGACTTCATCAAGTGAAGCAGGACCCTACAACCTGAATCCATCAGCAGTTACAAAACGGGTGCACAAGCAAACAGAAACAGAAGACGCGCACAAAAACCCTCGGAGATGACATCAGCAGGCTCTCTTTCACCAGCGTGGCGAGAGCCCAAGCTGCGCGGCGCCGGACAGTGAGGAGCCTATTGAGTCCCCGCATAGTTATCCCTATATGACTAGGCGGGTGCTTGGCTGTTGGCTGTTCAAGGGAGTTCATGCTCCGGAGCCTGTCTTCACATTCCTTTGCGGCTTTGAGGATGGTGCATTTCCAGGCAGGCACAGCGCTCTTTCGGCCAGTTGCTAACGTGGCTAGGGCCTAAAGAGGTTGATGGTAGTTGGCGATTCAATTTGGTTTACGGCTTAACAGTTTAAAGTATCTTTGGCATGGATGGCCCTGAAACACCAAGCCACACATGCCATTGCTACAAGACACCCGGGATCCCGTCATACTTTCCATGTTTAAACCGTCACCTTGCACGGTAGTCTTTCATGTTGGTGCAAACATATGTTTTGTTTTCCTTTTCATTCTAGTTCCGCTAAGATTGACAGGTACAAGAGGGCAACGCACATCATGATTTATGCCGGCATGGCGCAAGTTGTAGATGGCAACATGAACGACCTGGACTGTATCTCTTCAGGAGCCATTTCGCGAGGAGCCAGACGCCGCGAACGCGGTGCCTCGCCAGAAAGTGCCCTTTTTGGCTCACGGTGATACTATAGGGGCCTTAACTTTACCTGTGCTATTTTGGGCGGTCCTTATTATAATGATAATAGTATGATATACCCAAAACCCTATTCGAATTTTTAAGGCCCCTATATTACATAAATGCATGCAGACCTTCATGTACACATACATAGTTGCGTCGAGTATGCGTGTCGTCCACAGGCATAATTGGCCGGGTAGATATTGAGAGACCCAGATGTAATGCTTTGTCGTTGCATGTCTTCCAGCAGAGTACGTTTGCGCGTGTGTGCGGACATTTACAGGTGTAGTACACAGGGAGATAAGATTCATGCACATACATCCACATGAAGCTGGATCCCAAAGCCTTACACTTCCCCCCAGGCAATCCACTGAAAGGATCCTAAAGCCTCGCTTCAGCTGTGTGTTTCAGGAAGGAGTCTGGCTGTTCACCGGTGGCAAGCCAGCGGAGGCCGCCGAACTCTGACCGTGCTCAGGGTTCAGACCAAAGGATTCTTTGCGAGAAATCCGTTACTCGACGTACAAGTCAGCTGTTCTTGTGAGACACGTGGGCAGTTGTGCTAAGCTGTTCGCGACTGGACATGCGGTTTGGCGGGCTGTGCAGCTTCACTGGAAGATCAGCATGGTCACAGGCAAAACTCCTTTCAGAGGTCAAGCCGTGAGAGAATCCTAGAGACTAGGTGCTGGTAATTGCAGCCGCCCGAACTCAAACACGAGCTCCACATCGAAGACTAAGTTGGTAAGTCCTGACAACAGCGATAGCAAAGATGATAATTGAATTAACCTGTTAGAGCCACAGTTGCCATTACTGCTAGGACGACGACGACCATTGCCACTGCCTATTGCACCTGCTACTGTTGCTACTATTCCGCCACCCGCAACGGCAATGATGAATATATGAGTAGCAGTAATAGCCACAGCCATACTAGCATCAGGAAAGACGAATCCAAATTTTCTGGAAAGGCCCCGCTGTTCCAGAGTTGCTTCGAAGGCCAAGCCAGGCCCCCTGGCTGAATACGTACGTAGGTACATGCAATACTCATAAGGTTAGCTGCAATAATGTGCATATGTGCTGACATCTACGTTTACATGTACATACATATATGTAGATATGCATATCTACAGGTATTTACTGTAGTTGTTCATTATGTATGTGCTTTCTAGGTTATTCAGTCTGAAGCCCCAGGGCCCCAGAGGCCCTGAGCCGCTGGAAGCTTGTCTGTCCCTCCCTGCCTGCTCCAGCAGCTCAGGTATGTCTCCAGAGAGGGGATGCTTGTGATGGGCTCCTCGCTGATTCAATAGGCCCGATGGGCAGGTTGCAGGAGCTTGCTGCCGTCAGTCATGATTCATGATTTTGTAGTAGCATGTCTCCTTTGAACTTTGAACGTTTGTTCAGTTTTTTTTGCGGAGCTCCATCTTTAAGGCAATGCCTCCTACGGCGTGAGCTACGGCGAAGATCTCCGCTGCTCCTGGGAGATCTGGCCTTCGGGCCAGGAGGCGGAGGGGACGTCACGTGGCACGGAGCAGAGATGCTTTCCCACATTTCTGGAGGGTGTTCACTGTGTCTTCTCTTTGTAACCGTTCTGGAAAGGTGGGAACAGAGCCTTGCAAGGGGCTTCTGAGCCAAGGTTGTTGTTGAAGATCAACGTCACGTCGCTGCGGTACGATGGGGACTACCTGGAGCTTATCCGCCTCTTGGTATATGTTGAAGTACCATATTTGCTCATCGCTGGAAAGATGTAGAAACCACGCCGTATCATGATTAAGTCAATGAGGCCTGGCCAGAACTCCATTCCTCGCCTCCTCAGCCTTTATAACCCTGGACCCGAAAGCCCCAAAACCTCCTTAAACTTAACTCTCAAACCTTCGCCCGCGGATCCGGTTTAGGGTTTCAGGGAACCCTAAACCCTAAACTTTAAAAAAATACAAAACCCTAAACCATCCTAAACCCTAAACTCTTCAAAAAAAATCGAAACCCCTAAAAACGAGGCTTGGACTACAACGGCAGTGCCGTCTCCGGGTCGTCGATGCTCGCGCGGGGAAGCGCCTTCCTCTCCTCGGAGGTAGACGGACCCGTGACTCGGAATATGTGTAATATATGCTAATTTCGGGGTCTAAATAATGAGAATGGCAGAAACGGGGAGTTGAACGTACGCCCGTCCTTGCTCACCAGCATGGTTTGTTGTGTCTATGTTATGTTTACAACATAGGACCCTCGAGAATCCGATTCTCTGATGGCACGGACTCCTGTGTGGATTTGGCGGTTTCTGTGGGCGCGATTGTCTGCTGAGGTGCGAGTCGAATTCCGCTCATTTAGAGATGACGGAAGCAGGCCGGCACGCAGTTCGCAGAGTGATACGAGACCTCAGAGGGTTCACAGGGCTGTGGTTTGCGGGCGTCTTTTGCTTAGATCGTGCTATGCATGCATGACATCATGTACGTCCTCACAAGCTTGTAATTTTACCGGGTTCTGACCGTTTCCTCCGTGTAATCATGCAGAGTTCGGAAAGTGTCATGCCATAATATACACCTACTGCCTATGCTATTGTCTAATCAGTCGTAGCTGGCTACTTGATTTGCATCTACTGAAGGGCTTTATGCGGAGGTATTTGCTTATGTATCATTCTCTACTAGCATGGCAAGCCAGTTTTGCATGTTCTGCTATCTGCCAGAAGCTCATGGCTGCTAGACCTTGTTTCTTAGTTTCTAGGGGTAGCTGGGAAATCTCTTTTCTCTTTCTTGTTATGGTTTTGAATAGAAAAGTGCTGCTGTTGCCACTGTCTCGCCTGGATCTCAAGGAATTGCCTTTCTGAGTGCCATGCCGTCTACTCGAAGCTAGACCGCCTTGAGATTCGATCGCCAAAGACTGCTAGTCCTGCATACTATAATATGTCACATTATGTCAGGTTATACTACAATATTGTACTGCTTTACGTTGTACTATATTTTTGTCACAAATCACCGACCTCGTGCTCCTGCGAACCCGACTCTGCCATTCTGATCGCCAGGGCGCGCCTGCTGGATCTTGGTATTTGGTCCGTGGAGTGGAGCTACAAGGCAGGGGGCTTGCATGTGCAGGGGCGTGTCATCACAGTGAGAGGCTTCATGACGCTTCTGCTAGCTGTGTTGAGCGAGCGAGGAACATGTTCATGATGGTCATTGCGATTCATGCTGTTGCTGCTGACATTGCTAGTGGCTCTCTTCTGACATTCTAGATCACCGCCGCTGCCTCATTCCTGCATGGCGCTCTCTAGACCTTTGTGGTCGATGGTTGCAACTGTTTGCCGACGATGCTTCCTGCCAAGAGTTATTGCGCTCATCGCAGCTGCAGGCACCGGTTCCCGTCACCACCGATCGGCCCCTTCAGTATGCAGCCGAGAGCGGGCCGATCAACCTTCGGAACCGGTGGCAGACAGCAACACAGGTCGCGTCACTTGGACCATAGTGCCATAGTGGATCTCCGCAACAGCTTTTCTTTCAGCAGCAGGTAGTAAACGAATGATTCTTACTCTTATCCGACGTTTCCGAAGAGCATGGTACACACAATGGCGTTGCCCACGGCAAGAGTAAAGAGAACGGGTTAGACTCAGGAAAGCATTTCGGCAGTGTACTTGAGGGAAAGCATTTGCCAGGGTCTCCTGCTCGTCTTTGGGTGGTCTGCAGGTGTCTCTTGTTGGTTTCTTGGTGCTCTCCTTGTCGCATCCTCGTGGTCTTCGGATCGTCGTGTTCCTCCGGGTCGTAGTGGTCGTAGTAGTCATAGTCGTTGCGGCGCTCCACCACTGTTTGGGGATCAGCTATGCTGGCATAGTCGCTGCCATTATGATTATGGTACTCGCCACTGAAGCTAACATGTTTGAGGGGTAATGGTCGAGGGCCAGAGGCTCGATGTGGGCACTCGTTCTTGCCTGTCCGTTGCCAGGGCTTAGGATTTCGGGTTGAAGGTTTAGGATGGATGTGTGTGCATGGCACTACTGCTGTTGCTGCCCATGTCTGTTGTTGCACATGTCCGTACGAAAGAACCGGCCACATTTTATCGTGCAGGGATGTGGGTTGCTGGTTTGCTTTGGTCCTGCTCCGATGCGTTTGTTGATCTAGAGAGGGCGGACAAATGAAGCAAACGGCTTGGCATCGAGAGGTTTGTTGCAATGGACATCAATTTTCATGACCTTGTGTGGCTACTACAAATTACCATCATCATCAGCAGCATGCTTGCTACTGTTATTCTTACCACGCTCCAAGGATCGTCGCAATGTTCTTTTTCATGTCCCTGCCGTTTATCTACGGGGGCTGCTGGCTGTGGAAACGTTGGCGCCGTGGCCCCCCGGAGCCCCGTTCCGCACAGGCCGGGTTCTTCATTAATTAAATGTGTGTGTGTGTGTGTGTGTGTGTGTTTGTATATATATATATATATATATCTCTGTTCTTTAAGAAGAGCTCTGCATGAGTTTACTAGAATTCTGCGCGAAAAGGGTTCTTTAGGTCCTCAGTTTGCAACAAGAAGCGGAAAGGAGAGAGTCGGGATGAACCGAAGCCTGAGCCTGAAATGCACCATTAGATGGATACATATATATATATATGTGTATGTACCGTTACTTCTTTGTTTGCTAATTTGTTTATAGAGGGCTAGAGATACAGAGATGTGCGCAAATATGCCTACACAGACATCCAGAAGATACCTAGAAGCTACATTCAGATTGTTGTCAGTTCGGTTCTAATTATTTCATATATATATATATATATGTATATATATTCGAATACATATTATCTAGTGCATATCAAGGTAGGTAGCTAGGCAGATAGATAGTTCCATCGATGTGTAGGCAGATAGATGGATCGACAGCCACCCGATTAGGCAGCCAAGATAGACCGATGGCTATTGTACTGGTATACTACATCCGCTTGGGCTCACCGCGCTCCTTTCGCTGCAAGAGAGTCTTGCTGTGTCTCGACCTTGCTCCAACAAGCCCTCCAGGGCGAGAAGGGGCTAGGGTTTGGGGCAGAACAGAACTCGATAGATTGGCCAAGGTTGTCTGACCCTAACCCTACACATCCCTCAAACCCTCTCTTTCCAGAGCTATTTTCGGGAGGTCCCTGCTGGTCTGGACTTGAAGGGGCTGGAAGACCTCCACCCGAGTTGCAAGCCGCAGGCGCAGACCTTTGCAGTTCAGGGTCGGCCCTAAAGAAACCCTGGGAGTTGAAGTCCTTTACTGTTTTCTGTAACTCCCCTGTGTCATATGGACGGGAGACCGCTCATGTTGTGGAGCAGCCAGAAACCCTGAGGCCCAAGTCCATCAAAACGCCAACAAAAAAAGGGTTGGAGACAAGGTGCTGGGTGCGTCGGTGGCTTCTCAGCTCGCTTGCAGTGCCCCTTGCCAGTGCAGTTGGACGTGGCTCTCCACTGTTGCCGGATCTTGGCTACCCATCCCCTCTTGCACCCACTGCTCGCATGCACCTGAAAGCCGTTTCAGGTTTGCCTGAGCAACTTTCAGCCCGACGACGTCTGCAGGAAGTTGCCGTGCGACCACTACTTCCACCAGGCTGGCTGCATCAGAGAAGGTTAAGGCTTCATGCTTCTAATCCTATAAGAATATGAAGAACATGTATAGCGTATGCCCATCCGGCTTGCAAAGACTTCGTACCACAAGACTGCTTGCTGATGGACAATTTCCGGCATCAGCCCTAAAGCGGAATATGCAACACTTCGCAAGTTTTTAAGCTCCATCAGCTAATGCAGCACTCCGTCCATCAGCTGTATGTGTCCAATCCCCGGAAACTGCTTGGAGTTTCCGACAATATGGGACCCTCATATATCCTAAATAGTAGGATCCTTATTATAACGACCCCAGAATAAGGTGCCCCCCAAATTTTCGGAACAGAAAGCTTCACCCTCAGGGCCCGGTTTTGTCGTATTCGTAAAGAACCGAATTTTAAGTGCTGTCTTAAAAGATTATCACAATTAAAAAGAACGGCCCCGAACGGCGCCTGATAAAGAAAGAACGTGGAGTTTATACGGGAAGAAAGGCCTGCCTTCGACCCATTGTGCTGTTGCCTGTGGCTTTTGGGAAGGGGGAGGGGGGCGAGGCAAAAAAAAAATCATTATTGGTTTTCAATTTTGTTTTTTGTTGCCTCGCTGCCTTCCCCCCACCCTCCCCCCCGCTCTAAGCCAGGGAGCCGGAGCCCTTAAGCTTGGACCCAGCCCGGAAGGGCTTGTGCGTTTCCGAAAATTTAACGCGCGCGAATCCTTTAGGTTTCGGATTTGGGCAAGATCCAAGACTAAGGACACTGCGCGCAAGGCTTGTTCCTTGTCATTCGCAGTTCGCAAACCTAGCAAACTTATCGAGGTTGTCCTTCTACATATCATATGACATTCGTATATCCCCTCACATACCCAGCCTCCATATATGCATATGTGTATGTCAAAGTATTTGTATATATGAATGTATCACATCACGATGCTTGTGTTTCCATGTGTATATATGGTATGATGTGGCATCCCAAGAACATATATATATATATATATATATATGCTTACGCCCCCCCCCCCCATGATCCATACTATGCTTGCTTTTGGTAAGCAGCGGATCATGTGGGCAGCTTCGGATGCTGAAACACTGCCAGGCTCGAAAATCCCCAAAATTCCTGAAGCCTGAAGTGCGAAAACACTGGCAGGGATCAAAAATCCCCCAAATGTGAGAGACTACGGCCCCGCACTCCGCATAGTTGCCAGGATTTTGGGAATTTTGGTGATTTTTGATCCCTGCCAGTGTTTTCGATTTTCAGGCTTTACAAATTTTGGGAATTTTCGAGCCTGGCGGCATTTCGTCAACGTCGGATGCTAAAACATTGCCAGGCTCGAAAGTCCCCAAAGTTTTGCAAAACTAAACACCCATGGCCCCATAGATGCCACGATTTTGGAAATTTTAGGGATTTTTGATCCCTGCCGATGTTTTCGCATTTCAGGCTTTACAAATTTTGGAGATTTTCGAGCCTGGCGGCATTTGCTAACCTTGGATGCTGTGTTCCTATTATGTCTTTGTTTGTCACGTGTATACACATGGCATATGCTTTGTTTTAATGCCATGTCAAGGTGCGGTATGTTCCACGACATATTCGTTGCAGTTCTCTCCCGAGTGAAAGTCATCGTTTGTGTCCCTCTTTTCCTCTTTTCCAGCATGATCCGCGACGGGGGTGACATATCCTTGCAAGATGCTCTCGATGCCACCAATTCCTTGAGATATTGTATCAAAGCACACCACACCTGACGACAGTCTGTAAAGTAAAATATTTGCAGTAGATATACAACATATACTTTGACATGCCATGTACTGAGGACGCATGCACCAGACGCGCGGCACATGAGTTACGTGATAGTTTTGTGGAAGTATCGATATTAGGATGAGTACTGTTCTGAATAATATTAGTACTAGTGTTTGCTGTACTAGTATACATGTCAGTATTAGTAAATATGAATTAGTGTCAGTGCTCATGCTCGTGTTAGAGTTAGCACTAGTGCCAGTGTCAATGTCAGTAATACAGCACCACTGCTAGTATCAGTGTCAGTCTTAATGTTGGGTTTAATCGCAGCTTATATTTGCAGAAGTGCTAGTATTAGTATCAATACTAGAACTAGTTTTGTTATGTTAGTATATTGATGGTTTCGTATAGTAGCAGACCAGTATATCAATATATTATTAATGCATTCGAACAGTAACATATTTGTATACTTGTGTACTTGTATATTTGATGTGTTAGTACAACTGGTGCACGAGTACACTAGTATATTGGTGTACTAGTTTACTAGTATGTGTGTTATATTCATGTATTGTCTAGTCATATTTACAAGTATATCAGTATGTTGGCATATTAGTCTATTAATTTGTCATGTCGGTATACTTGCATGTTGCAGTAGTCGTATATTAGTATATTCGCATATTAGTATAGTATATTCATACATTAACGGGAAGTATATTATTACACTGGTACATGGGTATATGTTTATGCCAAAACATTAGTACATGAATGCACTAATGTATATATCTGTATCTTAAGATAGTGGTATGTATTTTTATGTACATTAGTATATGCAGATGTCTATTAGTAAAGAGATTAGTATTCATATCAATACAAATATACTATTGGTATTCGTAGGAGTATTAATGTTGATATTAGAATTAAGACTATTCATAGTCGTATTAGCCATAATATAAGTGTTCATTCTGGTAATAGTACTGGCATTCATGAATATTCAACAGATTATCAATATCCGTATCAGTGTTGGTGATAGCATTATTGTTAACACCACAAAAGTTGTATTCGTACTCGTAGGAGTATCAATACTATTGCAAATATTGATGTTAGTATAAATATTATGATAAGTATTAGTAGGATTAGCGTTAGTACTATAATATTATGAACACACTTGAAGTATGTGTCACGCTTTCCAGGCAATCAGGCAATGACCAGGAAGATTCGAAGCTGCCAGTTTGAGCATTGGCATCGGCACCAAAACATGGCGACAGTGACAGGCAACATGTTGAAGTTTTTGCACAACCACTGTTGATGCCTCTTGAAACATGGAGTGCCAGGTTTTGGATGGAAGAGCGGAGCCCGAAAGTGAAATCAGAATCCGTTTCGGGTTTCGTGGGGATATAACATGTGAGAACAAATTACAACATGTAGAGTTCAGTAGATGCTAGGTGCAGAAAATACCGCAAATACCGATGATTTTGTATGTAGGTGAAGTCATGTAGAAATCGAAGCATGAGCAGCAGGAGGTAGAAAAAACATGGTATGGATCATGGGGGGGGGGGCGTGACCATATATATATATATATATATATATATATATATATATATATTATATTATATTATATTATATATATGCATAAATACATACACATATATACACATACATGAATCGATACACAAATACATACATACATACATACATAGATACATACATATACATACACATTTATTTTCACATGTGCATATGCATCCACAGAAGAGCGGTGTACCTACATACATATACGCACGCATTCATATATATACATACATACATACATGCATACATACATACATATATCACGAAAGCTAGCTCTGTTGAGCTCGCGGGAGTTGCCCTTTAGCAACTTTCACTTGGTCTACCTTGTATTAAGGCACGCGGAAGAAAGCCCGAGATTGTCACGTGGGAAAAGGCCACATTGTCATGCCATGACAATCTCTCCCCCACCCTCCCCACCCCCCCCCCCCCAGATTGTCATAAATGACAATCTGGAATCGACCAGAGCCTCAGATTGTCATGCCATGACAGCGACCTGCTCGAAAAGCCTCCAGAGATTCGCGAACACATGAAGCCCCAGGGATCCCTCCGTTTGCCCCGCAGACATGGTCGGCTATTAGCACCTTCACTACAAATCAACTTGCACTCCAACCGTAACAGGAACTTGTAACCAGCACAAACCTCCAGATCGCAACGCCAACCCGGTGGTTCCCGTTACAGCATGGCGGCAGCACCTTCTAACAGAATCTGGCCTGTTGGCTTCTAATATTACGTCTTAGGGTTACAGAATTTGGGATTGAAAATCCAAAGTATCTTTCAGCCAGCTGACCCTCCATGAAACTGAACCGAACATACCTTGTCGCCTCGGCCTCGTGTTCGACAGTACTCTCATGTCACATGTGTCCCCCGCCTTACTCAGCCCCAATTGCTCGCAGCTACGCTTCCTCTCCCCTAGCTTTCGTGGCCCTCTTCTCAAGTACATATATAAACACATATATATATATATATGTATGCATAGATGGATGACATATGTGCATACCTGCTTGAATTATTCTTATGAACTTCAGGACTGTATGTTCAGATGCAGTCATAGGCATTGATTCTGATACATTTGTAAAATTGGTGGATGATGGCTTGAAAGTATATGTATATCTTCGTTACAGTATTGTGAAATCACGAATTATGAAGCAAAGCATAGGCTATGATAAGGTCAGCGCGCAGAACTTCCAGGGTTGGCGTGTTCAACCGGAACATTGGTTTCTTTGTGTGTGTTTAGTGAAGGGGATCCTCAGAATATATAAGTTTGATACTCAGAACTGATGACAAGCACTCGCGCAGTCTCTAATACTAAATATAGTGTGGAGAAGACGACCCAATCCGTCAAAAAGGAAAGGATGGGCATCCCGGACTGAAAGATGATTCTGCCACTCCCGAAAGCATAGCTATACCCTGGGACTACTATTTTCATTATTTTCGCGCAATACTATATTGACACGTAAGTCACCAGATAGACATGTGCAGAAATATACAGGTTCATATGGGGCATGAGGTTGAAATATTTGCAAAGGGTCCCCCTTTGCCCCTTGCACGGGTCGTGTGTTTCGATGGAAACACTCGTATTTAGAGCGTATTTATCATGGTTTTCAGGAGAAGCAATCAGGTGGTTTATTTGCAAATACTGATGCCGGGAATTCCAATAATGCACATACCCTACCACCACATAAATGATAGGTGACAGAGCCATCCATTCGCATGAGATATACAATCCACTTCTCAGAAAGGAAGATGATGGGTGATGGGTGTCCGAAACTCTGAAGGAAACTCTGAGGGATAAGCCTGTACCCATAAACCCTGCTTTAACAAGGCATCGCCAAGAAGAATACCTTCATCCCTGAGGCTTTGGATGATTCGGTTTCTGGAGATGCGGAAGACGGGTTCCTAAGAACCCAGAGCCCTAATCCGAGAAAGTGACATAGACAATAATACAAAATTTAAATTTTGTATTCCTAGAAGTAGGAAGTAGGGTTTATGTCGCGAGAAGCCCAAATCCTTATAGTTTGTATCAGATGTCGGACTCAGTACCTGTGAAAGAGATGATGAACAGTAACCCGGCAAAAAATCCATGACTGGCTTCTGAAAGACTCAAAATTATGTAGGCTGGGCAACAATCCAAAATTCCCAAAGAGCATAACAGGCTTCAGTTCATAAACACGAACAGGTGCAACCGGTTCCAAACCATCCCGACACTATGATGACAGATGATGGATGTTCAACTCCCAACAAGATGATTTGGTAGCCTATGATAGATTCTGGTGAGATATGATACACGCTGCAGTTAAGGTTTCCATTGTAAAACCCGAAACCTCCAAAGATGATAAAAGGCATCGTACCACACATCCGCCAAGTGTAAGTGGAGATATGACGGTTGATAAACCTGCATCCATAGACGCTGCTGCTGGGTCATGGAAAGCCGTAAATCCCTACAGAGAAAGATGGTTGAGAACCCAATGTTCCCAGGAGATGACGGGCGGCAAATCTTCCATGATATTCATTTGCCCTTCACAAAATAGCTTAAAAACAAAATCAAAACCCAATTGGAAGTATTTTATCCTAAACTCAAAGCAGAACTTGTTGAACAAGTATACAGGCTTCCTTTTCTTAACCATAATATAGGATTAAAGGCGCTCCATATGCAATCCCCCCTCTCCGACCAAAAAAATTTTAAAAGAAAAGAACCCTTCGGCCCCAGAGTCTGACAGTTCTGATTGAGATATGGTATAGACCCAAACCCGAAAGGATACGATGCAGGTACCTTTAGATGTGCTATGACATCAAAACTACCAAACTCTAGTGGGCATAATGAGATCCAAACCCCAAGCCTCAATAGGAAGTGATAGGACACCGAAATATAAGATGATCGCAAGTACATCCTAAACCGGTAGTGAATACGCAGCTTGTATAGCATTTACATTATAGTATACTGGTCGAGCCGAATAGAGCCGAATACTCACTTTCATATTGTGACCGTGTCCATAACAGTGCCGCTGCATCTGTGCAGATGTATTTCGTACTGATATGAAAATCAATTAAAATGTATTAAAAACCTGAAAAAACGCTCGTTTACTCGAGAAAAGCGGGCCCTCACGCCGACGCACACCCTTTCGGAAACACCTTAACCCTTTCAAGAAACCTTATAGACTTCTAGATCCCTTTAAGGAACCCTGATGGATCCCTTTAAAGGTGTCCCCCAAATCATCGGAAACTCCTTGCCAGGAGTGCATCGACGCATGGCTGAAGAAGGCCAGGAACTGCCCGACCTGCCGGGGCGACGTCCTGGGCATGCAGGACGCGAGTTGGGCCTTGAGATCCCAGTATCTTAGAAGCATATACCCGAAACCATAATATATTAAGCCCCTTAAAATCCCTATAAGTTAATGTATATTCCTTGATTAAGGGGTATTGGGATCCCAATATCCCGTAATTAGGGAATATACCTTAAATCATTATATATGAAGCCCCCTATAATTCAAGGTTGGGGTCTCTTGGAGCAGAGCAGTGGTAGAACAGAGATTTTCATGGAGTAGTGACAAGAATAGGAAAAAGTAGCGAAGACGAAAGACTGTGTGAGAATGATGGACAACTGATAAGTCTACAAAATGAGAACGGTATCGTTGAAAGAAGAAGCATGACAAGCGATACCTGAGTGCCGTCTGTGTACCTGATACCGTGTTTGCCACTTGGAAGGAGATCAGAATGACTGGCCATGATCCGGAAGCTGCCCTGCCCGAAGATGTTACCGTCCAGAGTACGGCGGCCGTCGAAGAAGCTGAAGTGCCTGGCCAGAGGACACAGGGGCCCATGAAATCGGTGAGCTCTGGCGCGAGCGAAATGGATAGGATATCCAACTAGGATCCTGCCGATTTCGAGGAATGACGGCTATGTTTTGACAGTGCTTTCAGTCTTTTTCTTCCTCGACGAAGGGCCAACTTAGCCAGGGAGACGTGCGCCGCGTTGCTCCTGCCATCGGCGCGAATCCTTTGCCTAGTTTGGACATGAATGTTTGTGCGATCGTCAGGACGGGCGATGATCATGGCACAGAGCAGATTTCGGATGGCCCTGAAAGAATGATGGCCATATGAGGGCCATCGAAGTTGCTGACTAACTTATCGTTTCGAAGGCTCTGCAACAGCGGATTGCTGTTCGGGTCTTCTTGTGTTGGATAGGTTGGGCTTTCTGCTTTGTCTGTTCACCGACCTTGTTGGAGACCCAAGTGTTGCAAGTTATGGTATTCACTCGGGAACCGAAAAGCTCACCCAGACATAAACTTTTCGCTGGAGGGGACTATGTGATATCCCAGACTACCTTACAGTCGTTGGTGTTGAGGTGATTTCTGGGTCCTAAATCCCCCGCAGTCCCCCTGCCAAAGGTTGGGTCTCCTAATTCGAGCCCGGCACGCTCCCATTTTGTGCGTGTTCCGCGCTTGCATGAGGTAGCTAGGGTTGAAGCACTTCAGGACTGTCTGAGGCCAGGACATGTTCCTGACATCGGTTTGGTCGCGCTGCCAAGCATCGAACATCCTTTTCCTCTTTCCAAACATCGAGATTTCCGCCGGCACTTTTCCACACTTCGTTTTGAAGTTTTGGTCGAAGTCTGGTGGATGCCGACATAGCGTCCAGCTTCACCACGACCTCGACCACTTGCACTGATGAGGCTTTCACGTTCCTAGCCCCTGTAACCGCCTTCGTGTCCTGCCCCTGACAGGGCCAGGGCCCACAAAGCCGACGCAGACGTGTCTTCCACCGGGACCGGGCGACTTCCTCGGAAGCATCCTCTGAGAGCCCTCTGGAGTCCAGAAAGCCTGGAAAAAGTTGCCACTGCTGAGAAGAGGAGTTGCCTTCATCAACCCAGTGGGAATCACTCCCTTTTCATGAATCTGAGCACCTAAGCCTAAGCCATGCCTTCAGGAAGCGACTGAAGCTGAGCTGCAGCTGTTTCCAGATCATTTCCAAGCTGGCCATGGGAGACCAGAGCGCCGAGTACCGCTTGGTCATCGAGGACAGCTCTTGCTGCGCCATGCTTTGCGACCTTGTCTTTACATGTCTTCAAAGCTGTACCGGACGGGATTTTTGGCCAGAATCTCGAAACTTGGGGAAGGAGCGCTTCGGCAGCTATCCGCTTCCCTCTTGAAATCTGCTGCTTTGAGGATCCGTTATGTAGCGCCTGGACGGTGCCGCAAGAGAAGCCGGATGTGCTCGAAGGACTCCCCCTGGAAAGGTGGAGCCTTGAACAAAGAATTGTGAAAATGAAGATGACAGGTAATATAGGGGCCTTCATAATTACCCATACTATTTTATTATGATTCTAGTATAGTGGGCCGCAATGCCCTTTCGGGAGATCCGTTCTCGCCCTTCAGACGGCAAAGCACGCGGTCTTAACCAAGGACGGCTTGGGTCGCGGAGGTGACAGGACTCTTGCAGACCTTCCGGAAGACGCAGCTCACGAAGCTCGTTGGAGGCTTGTTTTTTGCAGTCTTTTGCCTTGGCTCTGCTGGATGTCTCCTTGCTGTGTGTGAAAGAAACTGCAAGAAGTTCGCCTCAGCCTGGATGATAAGCTCGTCCAGATGTTGATGGAACTCCGCCTGAGCCCCATGTCTTGGTACGAGCAAGAGATTCTGTGACCGACTCTTGCCGAGCAGCCTGCCTACATGGGAGGCATCTTCCTCATTGTGTGGAGCGGAGTTTGCTTCCTCGTCTTCGTGCTGGCCTTCATGACGCTCACAGCCGCTTGGCGAAGACGCGGGTTGGAGAGCTTTCATCGCCTTTGCACAACTCAAACACTAGCAACTGGAAGCACCCATGCATGCTTGCGGAACGGCTCTTCAGAAGGCGAGAACAGCCGTATGTGTTTAGGGTGATGCAGCCGGTAGCTTTACGAGGGCCTCTTGGGGCTTTGGGCTTTCACTTGCTTTACCAAAGCACTCCAAACGAGCGGTCTTAAAACTGTCCGGAGTCGTAGGGCATACGTGTTTTCAGTAACCTGTGCTTATGCTTAAAGAAGCACCTATGAGCATTTCTCCATTCGAGCTGGGTGAGATTCTTCAGCAAGACCACAGCGTTACTCAGATAATCATACACAGCGCACAATCCCCTGTCACAGAAAGCCGAACGCAGCAGTGGAAGTTTCCCCAGCCAGTCTTCGCCAATGTGCAGGAAGATGCAACATGGGTGAGCATCATTGCCTTGATGGCTGGGGTGCTCATGTGCGCCATCGCTCCGATCGTGTTCCTGATGATGGTTTGCTGCGAAACCTCGGCAAGAGGCAAGATCGACCAGCTGTGCCACTTGGAATGCATGTCACGTCGATGCCTTGGGAGTGCCCGCCTGGCCCATGCGCCTTTAATAATCATGAATAGTACTAGCAATAATGATAATTGCAATAACATTAATGATAAGTACAACAACAATAATGGTACTTACAATAACAATAGTATGATGATTCTGTCTATTCCGTAAACGGTGAAATCTATCAATGATTTCGGACCCTGGGGCCCAAAAGCAGGCAAGCATCAGAGGAAGCATAGCGAGAATCATTTGTAGTAGTAAGAATGGCAACATTACGTAGGCACGATGAGAATGGTCATAAGTTTAGTCAAATCAAAATCATAATAATCACGACAAGAGTAGTCATAATTATGATTATTGTGATTATACGAATTAAAAAGATAACAACAAGAAGGATCATGATGAGTTCCTTTCAGGTTCTGATCTGGCCAAGGAGCGCCCGGGGATGTCCATCAGGCGCGCTCGCGCATGGCGATCAAGGATTGAGATTGAAGACTTGGAACATACTGTATCCTAACGCCGTATAGTTCATTATAGTTTAATCGAATATGTTATATTGTATTATGACAGAATATATATATATATATATATTTATTTATTTATGCATAGAGTAGCAAATCTAAACCTGAAGCCTGGAACTCTCTGCTTTTGGAGGGTTGGTCTGCGTTCAGGCGTGAGGAAGGCATTGTGTTCTTGCGACCCGCTACAACTCCAGCCGCGAACACCTCTGTTGCTGCAGCAGTCGTTTCCGCATTCAGGCCTGCGTTCATCTTCAGTGGTTTTGACCACCTACCCTACAAGAAAAGGTCCCTCTGAGTTCAGGTGTTGAGTAGCCCGTGTTTTTGGGGCCTGCCCCTGCGTGCCAAGGCTTGCCTCCCCACGGACTCCTAAAATCTTACTTAACAGTAGCAGCTGCCTGGCAAGACTCGCTTTGCGGCCAGGGTGGACGAAAGAGCTTGGAATCCGGCAGCAAAGCAGCACATGGATAAGCTACAGTTACTGTCTGTACGTTCTTGACCGTGAGAGTTGTCCGAGTCTACTTTTTCGCATAGACGAGTTCACAAAAATTGGCCGATCATCAGATAGCTTGCTTCTCTTCGAGATGATAGTCTTCGCTGCACCAGGGCCGGAGGGATATTGGCAAATTCAAGAAGAGCATCATCTTTTCGCAGAGGCTCGGCCATGATGACGTTTTTGGTGGCTTGGTATGGTGTGTATATATATATATATGATTAGAGTATACCTGTACATGTATATATATATACACATACATACATACACGGATATACATATGTATGTATATATAGACAGATAGGTAGATGGATAGATAGAGTTTGGCCCTTCCCTGCCGTGGCACCTCCAGGTCCAGCCAGGTTGGTAATGACCAGGCGGAGGCCGACGCGCAGGCGGAGCCGGAGGCGGAGGCTTGAAGTCTACGCTTCAAATGCCTCTCTCCCCAAAGGGGAGCTGGGGTGGGGGAATCCGGATGCAACGTGCATGGCGTGACTGTGCAACAGAAGCCGGCAGAGGCAGATAGCTGCTGCAGTAGATTGGATCCGTCTCCGTTTGCACACCAGCGTTTCTGTTCAGGGAAACGTGGTAAAGCTTAAAGGCACGCACAATACTGGCCTGCACATATATATATATGGTCACCCCCCCCCCCATGACAGACCATGCCCTTTCGACTCAGTCGTAGTGCATGGTCTGTGATCGGGGGGAGGGGGCACTCAGCTTTCAAAGCCTCAATTCCAAAATTTCCAAAATTCTCTCCCCTAACTTTCCGGATTTCCAAAATTTCCAAAATTTCCGAAATTTCCAAAATTTCCAAAATTTCCAAAAAATCCGCCCTTATGTTTTGGAAAAATCCTGTCGACTAGGTCGGGAAATTTTGGAAATTTCGGAAATTTCGGAAATTTTGGAAATGCGGAAAGTTAGGGGAGAGAATTTTGGAAATTTTGGAAATTTTGGAAATGCTGGAATCTGTTCTATATATGACTCAAGTAAGATTACTGTGTAGTGCTTACTATGTAGTGTATCAGCACAACCCTCATCCATACACGTGTGCTCTGTAATTCCTTTCTTGGTAGGACACCCGCGCGCCTTGTCGTGCTAGTCTCCGCATCGGACCAGATTACTTGCAAAGGCAAGGGCTGTCAATACTCATGCCCATATTTACACGAATATCTCTCTATCTATCTGTATATCTATATATACATATATGTATTGATACTCCTACATATAGTATTGCCATTGAACATACTGACATTGATCATTTGTTGAATGCTCAAGCTAATACCAGCATTACTACTAATATTACACTTCTATAAAGCTTAGTACGAATATGCATAACACAAATACTAAGATTGATTAGTATTGCTCTTAGTACTCCTACGCATATCAATAACCATATTCATATTGATAATAATGTATAATAATACCAATACTAACACACACCTGTATGTACTAATGTACATAAACATGCATACCACCATATTAAAATACAAATCCTTTAACTCACTCATGAATTCAACTGTTAGAATTTCACGTGGTCAAGAGTAATAACAATACAAACATTCTTTCGAATGTATATCATCAATAATATGATAGTACTAACGCTAACACTACTGCTAATACTTAACACAAAATCTATACTAACATCAATATTTACATAGCTATTTATACTCCTACGAATACGAATACGTAAACCCTTGTGCGTTAACAGTAGTGCTATCACCAACACTAGTACGGACTTTGATAATCTGCTGCATATTCAAGAATGCCACTAGTATTACCAGCATGAACACTCATATTATGGCTATTACGAGTATAGATAGTCCTACTTCTACTAGTATTGACATTAATACTCCTACGAATACCAATAGTATATTCATATTGATATGAAAACTAATACCATTACTAATAGACACCTGCATATACTCATGTACATAAAATACGTACCACTATCTTAAGATACAGATATATACATCAGTGCATTCATGTATTAATGCTTTGGCATAGGCATATACCCATATACCAATGTATCAATATACTTCTCGTTGTTGTATGAATATACTATACGAATATGTGACTATAATCATATACGGCTACTGCACTATGCAAGAATACCGACATGACAAGTTCGTATACTAATATGCCAACATACTGATATACTTATACATGATTAGATAAAACAGTAATATAGTACACATATTCGTACACTAATATGCTAACGTACGAATATACTGGTATGTCAATATACTAGTAAGCTAATACAGCAGTATAGTAGTGTAGTCATGCACCAGTTGTACTAACATGTAAAATATACTAGTATACAAGTATGCAAATATTTTGCTGTCCGAATACATTGATGTATTGATATACTAATCTGCTAATATACGAGACTATCAATATACTAACATATCAAAACTAACTAGTTCTAATATTGATACTAATACTAGCACTTCTGCGAATATAAGCTGCTGTTAAACCCAGCATTAAGACTGATACTGATACTACTCGTAGCAGTGGTGCTGTATTACTGACATTGACACTGGCACTAGCGCTAACTCTAACACGAACATGAGCACTAACACTAATTTATAGTTGGCAATATTGATACGTATACTTACAGCAAGCAATAGTACTAATATTAATAACAATACTCACCCTAATACCGATACTACCACAAGACTATTACGTAACTCATGTGCCGCACGTCTGGTGCTATACTATATACCTCATGTAACGGTTTTGCTTCACAGAATATCGTTGTGCACGGTGTTTTTTAGACCCGTGGTCTGTCACCGGGGGGGGGGGGTGAGCATATATATATATATAGTTGTTTTATAAGTATATTTATGTGTATATGTATTTATATGTGTGTGTGTGTGTGTGTAAGTATGTGTTATTTATATATATATATATATATGTGTGCATATGTGCATATATATATACATACACATACATACACACACATGGTGTGGTGATGCCGACTTCTGTCACTAAAGGCACCTGAACTCGTACCGGCGGATCTTTTGAATCGCCCTTGTTAGCTGCCAGAACAAGCACAGCTGGGAAGAAAGGGTTCCCAGGAGCTTCCAAAGCTTTGAGCCCAAAGATTGGCCCGGATTCGGCAGTGCAGGTTGCAGTCGGTGCGTGCCGCGCGAGAGCGATGCAAAAGATTCACGGATCCACGGATGTTCGGCTGCAAAGTGCGCGACCGACGTTGTCGTCGCTGTCGTAGAGGTTGGAAGCAGTGTCGTGTTTTGTGGTTGCGGCTGCTGCTGCTGCTGCTGCTGCTGCTGCTGCTGCTACTGCTCGTGGTGGTGGTGCTGGTCCTGATAATGTCCGTGGCGTCCGTGGTGCTGGTGGAGGTCGCGGGGATAGAACTGTGCCATCTTCGCGTAAGTGCGGTTCATACTACGAGCCCAGCAAGACTCGCCACGGTGAAACACTTCCGAGGCAGCTCCATCCGGATCACGCCGGCGCCACAGCCGACGGATATCATCTGGGAGAACCAGGAGAGCACGATGTCAATAGTCTGTGATACGAGCCGAGACGGGTTTATGGAAACTCTCGCAAGCCGTCGGTAGTGAAACACAGCTGTTCCAGGTCGAGGCCAGTGCTAACTCAGGGTCGGTAAGTCCATGGTGGTCTAGTGGTAGTGTCTGCAAAGATTCACATTCAGTTTTGTTTGTGGCAGCACGGAGGAGGAAAGTTCGCGCAATATTCCAACATGTTGTTTGTGGTTCAAGCGTGTCAGCGGCAAATCTACGAGCCATCAGTTTATTAGTATCGCTGGTAGGCGCTTTTAATTGTGGTTAGCATTACGAGTAGTATGATGGTGGTGATGATGATAGTCATCATCATCATCCCGGCAAGGCGACAGAAAGCACAAAGGCGATGCGGCTAGAACCCCCATGCCAAGTCAATTTTTATCCAATAACGCATCGTGTTTGCTGGTGTCTCATGCTCGCGTGCTCAAGGTGTGTCTTGTCGGGTTGCTCGCAGTCTCCTGTCTCTGTTTTGCAGCCGTATGTCAACGTTTCGTTCTTTGCCACAGCAAACGGTTTAGGACCTCGAGAGCAGATTCAAATTCCTGCGATCTTACATTTTGCTTGGTGGTCGTTTCCCAGAGGCCTAGCCGCGAGCTTTGCCCAATGCTTGCATGCCATACGTTGTTTTACTCTCTAGTCGTTCATTCACCCAAAGGCTCCATGTACCCATATAGTAGGCACTTAGGCCTTAAAGTACCCATATAGGAACCCCTTTAGGGCCTAAGTACCTACTATATGGGTACATGGAGTCTTAGCGTTGCCACCCAATGCCTCGGTGCTGTGGACGCAAAGCTTTTGCCGCATTTTTTGTCAGTCTCGGGCCTGGGCCACTTTTGGGAGTCGTTCAGCCTTGAGATCCCAAAACCCCTTAATTAAGGCATACACCTCTGTCAAATCATAATATTAAGCCCCCTATAATTTAAGGTATATTCCTCAATAAAGGGGTATTGGGATCTCTGGGAGGACATTGCCTGGTACAGCCGCCTTTGGCGTCAAGCGCTTGTGCCGCTTGTCTGAAGCGCTCAGCTCGTGCCCGCTGCCTCCGCTGAAATTGCTTCGGGCGTGATACATAATAATAATAATAATAATAATAATAATATATATATATATATATACACACACATATAACATGTATAGCAATTTTTATTTTATCCATAATACATCTCTGGAGGATGAACCTGTCGAGTTGCTCCCAGCAGTTGCTCGCTGAGGCTGCTCCTTTTCGTCATCATCCTCTCCATTTCGTCTGCATCCCAGCGCTTGCCGTGCCCGTGACCAAGTCTATTGCATGCTGCTGCCGACCGAAACAGCACACAAACGATAAGTATCGAATCCTAACTCCCCTTGCACTTATTATGTTTAGCTCAGCTGCTGCCTTGGGCTTCGACTGTGGACGTTTGACGAGTGAGTATCAGTAGGAGACAGAAGCGTCGATGCAAAGATTGCCGATGAGAACTACGGCCTTTGCTGGTCATGCAAGTCGAAAGTAGCATCACTCGTATTTAACGTTATGAAAGCGAGCACAGCCATTGTGCAAGGCCATTTTGCTGGCCTCGTCTTGCATGTGCTTACCGCTTCGAGCTCTGAGTCTGAGGTTGTGTCTGATCTACGTGACAACTGTGGCGGGTAAAGCTACGGCGAAGTCGCAGCCGGCCACCCAAAGGATGGTCGTTTGGTTTGGGAGCAGATTTCGATGTGCTGCAGGGCTCAAGCTTCAGTCTTAAGGTTAAGGGTGCGGGAGTGAAAGAAGAGTCGTAGAACTCGTACAGCGGATCTCGAGCGTGAGGTGCTCAGCTGGCAGAACGCTTCTCCAGAATTCGCCTCCTATTTACTCGTTTGACTCGTTGTGCATCTACGACCCCCGAGCCTGCACTCAGGGTCAGCTACCTCGGTGTGCCGGAGTGCGATCCTGCTGGCGATCAAGTTGACCTTCAAGGGCCCAGGGCCCAGAAGCTATCTTTGGAAGGGCCTCGATTTGTGGATTGGGCGTTCTTTGGCGACGGCTGTCTGCTCTTTGTCATCTTTAGGCCACTGAAATCAATCTGAATCTGGCCCGAATGCTGATCCAGATCTTGCCAAGGAATGAGCAGTACAAGTGCTTGATTACAGCTGCCGCGAATTGGACGAAGCAGTACGCGACCGAGGAAGGCGGGCTTCGTGGTGGTATGTTTGTTTCGTGTTCTTGTCATTACCAATGTTTCACCAGCATCACCATCATCACGGTGACGCTGGTGGCTATGATGATGTTGTGTTTGCGGACGACGACACGACAATGATGAGGCTGATAATGATCCGAATGCTGATGCTGATGCTTGATACCGGTGGTGAGAATGCAGGTGATGCCAAGGACTCGACGGTGATGATGTTGATGATGGTGGTGATGATGACGATGACGATCTGGGAAGAAGAATAAGAAGCAGATGGAGATGATAAAAAGGGTGGTGGTGGTGCTGCTGCTGCTGCTGCTGGTGCTGGTAGTCATGTCATGATCATAGCAGACCTTGCGGCATCAAGTTGTGCAACCATGGCAGTTTTATATCATATCATATCTTGCAATATTGCATTGCATTGTTAGTATCCTTGTATATTCTGGAATATTCGACTATACTTATACTTATATAGTCAATTATATTCTAGTTCTTGCAGGTGGCGACATCCTCAGCTGCTGGTGCACGGCACAGGGCTACGAGGCGCTGTTCCGAGACCAAGGCCTGCCTTTCGGGGTTTTGGGCTTTGGGAGCCGTCTTTTGGGGCTACTAGAAGGCAAAGAGTAGTTATGATAATACTAGTAATGATGATAGCAGTTTAATACTAACCATAACAATAGTGATTACAATACTACTAAGAACAATAGCTTGCATGATAATAACCATAACAACAAATATTAGGAGAAAGAGACATAGTAATAATGTGTAAAGATTTGGGCTTTAGGGTTTGGAGTTTGAGCTTGTAAGCTTGGAGTTTCGGAGGGCTCCCAGATTTGATCCTGTCGCGAAATAGTATGTGTTACTATTGAGGCCCTCTTGCACGACAGGTTGAGGGGAAGGCGTGGCCCATCAGACGAGAGTTCCCACATTTTGAGAGCTTGGGGCATCGAATCATATCATTCTATCTTCACATGGGAAACGCTCCTGTGCCTTGCGAACAGCTTCATGTTGCACAACGAGCGCCCTGCAGCCCTGCTGGACGCGTGCACTCCCTGGCTCTGGGGCCCGGATCTGAGCCAGTCGCTGCTGGGGAGCATGGTGTGAAGAGAGTGTCAGAAGCGGGTGATGTTGAGCCGGCTAGGTTGCTGTAGCTGCTTTGAGCAATTCATGCGCTACATGTTTGCTGTTGCTGCCGTTGTGACAGAACTGGCAACATCCGTGGGCATCGCTTTCGCATCATCGACTGCTCGACACCCAGGGATTGCTGTGATTCTGGCTGGCCTGCGGCAGGGTTCGCACAGGGATACGGATCACGAACGCTGCATGACTGAGGACTGAGGAACACGTTCAGTAGAGAGACCGCTTTTATGTCAGGTGCTCTGCAGGTGAGCGGCCCAAAGCAGCAGGTTCCAAGGTCAATAGGCCAGATTGATGAGCCAGCAACCTCGCTCTTAGCATGGCATCCTATAAGCCTCGAGCCTGTTCAGATCTCAGCAGAGCCCTGGTCAACTGCGGCACATCACCTTTTGGATCCTTGTCCCAAGCCACTACCCTCACTTTCCAGCTGTTTGTTCTTCTGTTCCAAGACTTGCAGCAATGGGACTATCATGGAGCTCATTGATAGAGACCGCTCTCGACCAACTGCGGGAAGCACGGAAGCCTCAGGCAGGAGGATCTGGGATAGCGCCTGCGCAGTTTCGGGGAGTTGTGTATTTGTGGGTCCCTACCAAGGTGGAGCCACAAAGATTCCTGGCTCAGCTTGAGATTGTTGCTACACTCTTGAGAGTCGACCTCACCGATCGCAGCTACCGCAACAACTTCACGCCGAACTATCGGGTCCTGTTCGACCGTCCAGGAGCCGGGATGTAGATTCGGAGATATGCCAGGGTTCGAAACTCCAACTACAGGTTGAGTTGGACCGTCCTGGCATCTTCTGCCAGGTCTGCTTTAAACCTGAAAGCTGGCAGGTCGCCGACTTTACATCTACGAGCTCTTCAACTGCTTCGACTGCGAGCCCATCTTCGTGAACGGCAAGCTCATCCGGATCAGTCAGGAGAACCCTAAACCCATGAACCCCTAAACTTTAGGCTCTAAACCCTGAACCCACCAAAAAAAATGAAACAAACCCTAAACCACTAACCCCCTCCAAAAAGAAAAAGCCTGCACCCCTAAACCCGAGACCCTTAAGGGGGATTCAGGAGGCGCGACAGAAGGGTAAGCTCTTGAAGCGGTGCTACCACGAGTTGCTGGAGACCGTCGATGCCTACTTCCTGGTGGGAGTTTCCGGAAAATTAGGGGGTACCTTTAAAGGGATCCTTTACGGGCTGCTCAGATTGATCTATAAGATGTCTATAAAGGGCTTAGGGTTGCGGGTTTCCGAAAATCAAGGGGTACCTTTCTTTTATGGGTCCTTATAATTAGGATCCTACTTTTAGGGTACTGTGTAGTAGTGGGTCCCCTATGTTCGGAATATGGGTCCTCATAATAAGGATCCTACTATTTAGGGTACTATCTATATCTATATCTATATCTCTATATATATATATATATATATATATATATATACATAAATATAAATATATATATATATATATATATACATCAGTGTCCCCTATGTTTGGAAACTCCCAGGTTGGGGCCATCCCAGACCTGGAGAAGATGCGGACGCTGCTGGCCCGCTTTGACAAAACCTGGGTGGACTTTGAGAAGCTCTACTTTGAGGACAAAGGGGGGCTGGGCTCTGATATAGGGGCCTTAATAATAATTCGAATAAGGTTTTTGGGGTATATTATACTACGTATAAATCAATATGATAAGGAACCTGCAGGTAATTATGAAGGCCCCTATGCTAACAGACCGCAAAGTCTTAAGAAACGAGGCCCGGAACCCTCCCAACTCCGCGAAACCCCGCTCCGAAAACAGTTCCGCAAGTCACAGCCTGAGATCTGAAAGCTCCTGATTGGAAAAGTACCCAATTAAAAAGAAGTTTCAGGAGCTCTTCAAAATCGAGGCTGAAGCAAGGGCGCCAGTGGTTCGGGCCATGCAGCTGGAGCACAAGCTGCGGTGCCTTGGCCCGGAGGGGGATGGGGGGTTCGGTTCAAGGTCTGAGGGAGGCAGTAGTGGCGGCTCGTTCCGGGAAGCTCCCCAAACTTTAGCCCAGACACACGAACTTTCAGCACTACGACCCAATCAAAGCACCAAACTGCAAACCCAATTCCCAAACTTTTTGTCCCACAAAGCCCGTGGCCTTAGCAAGCCTGGCCAAAGATCCCCATGCCGAAATGGCCCCTCAACCCCCAAACATCCCCAACCTCATCTTTGATCAATGCAGCGCCCCAAACTGTACTCAGGAGCCTGGAAGCCTCCGACACGCCGCAGCTGGAGGTCCAATCACTCCTTGAAACCGCTCCAGGGTTTGGAGGGTGTGGGGTTACGGTTTTGTTTGGGGGTTTTGGGTGGCTAACTTGAAAGAACGCGGACAGAGCCGGGCCTTGTGATCGAAGCCTTTTGGTTTGTGCATCAAGTGGGATAGGAGGCTCAAGTTCATCTTCATGCTGACCTCATGGACTGATGACTGCTTGCTTCCATCACTTCCGTCTCAACATCGGTAACCATGCTCGTGGCTTGCTTTCTCATGTATTGAGACTCAGCAGCATAGCTCGAAGGCCTTTCCTTCACTTCATTTTCAGCGTGCAGGTCTTGGTGTCTTCCATCCGAGACAGACCGCCCACGAGATACAACGAGCGCTTTGAGGCGAAATCTTCCTGATACAGTTTAAGGGCTTGGTGAAGCTCTGTACAGGTGTAGGGGCTTCGTGCTTGATATTCATGCCTTAGTCAAGGGACATCTCACGAACCAGTGCCCTGCAATGCTGCTAAAACTACAAGAGGTGCGATTGCTCAGAGTCTTCGGATGCACTGCTGGGGTACGGGTAGCAGGGCTCTCAACATCTGGACTCATTTCCGTTCAGTGCACAAAAGAAGCCCGAGTTCCCAGAGCCCCGAATCCCGTTCCTCGCCCCTCCAGCGGTGAGAGGTGATGTCTCACCAGGCTTCGAAGAGAGCCTTGATCCCAACTCCTCCGCCGAACTGCTATAACGGTTATCTGAAATTTATTCTAATATTAGTGTAGGCTAATGTTACCTTACCGTACATGATTACTGCAGGCTGATACGGTACGTCATGTTATCGATTCGTGTTCAGGTCCTGAAACAGCTGGTCCAGCTGACGGCAGGCTCGAAAGCTGAGCCGACCACGCACTGTGGAATAGTCTGGCGGATGATGGCAGAGTGTGCATATCAAGAACTGGCCTTGTATATGTAGTGTGTATGTCTGTATGTATCTATGTGTATATATATATATATATATATATATATATATATGTATACATATGTATATATATACGTACATACATACATATATATATATATATGTCCTAACGATGTTGCTCCCAAACTTGACGACCTGAGACGTGAGAGGCCTCAACAACTGCGCGAACGTCGCAGGTCGCGGCCGATGCTCGGAAGCATTCTCGAATGCACAAAGCTGGTGTGCATTAGCAATCACACACTCTATGTACGCAAAGATATGTAGCAGAAAACACACTAACATAAACAGGTAGATAGATAGGTAGGAGCGTGGATAGTTAGATCTTCTGCGATTTTTCGGCCTGTCAGGAGACGACCTGAGCATGGACGTCCTCGTGGCAGCGGCAGATCGCTGGGCTCTGGCGAAGTCTCTGAAGCCAAGTAACGAGCTCGAGACGCCTCGAAGCACCGGATTTTTAGGGTTGAGGGGTTTAGGAGCTTAGGGTTGTAGAAGGATTTAGGGGTTTAGGAGTTCAGGGGTTATTTGAGGCTTAGAGGTTTAGGGTTAAGGTTTAGGAGTTTAAGCTTTAGGAGTTTAGGCTTAGCCGTTTGAGCTGGCGAATGTAAGCTGGATCTCGAGCAGTATTTTACTAGAAGCTGCCAGGGCGGTGTCGCTTGAAATATAGGGGCTTCAAAGACGTTGGCCAAGGACATATCACTGCAAAGTGCAGCGCGTACTGTCCAGCCGCGTACTGCAACACTTCGCAGACCTTCGGAAATACTTCGGCTCCATCAGCGACATCTGGAAGGAGGTGCCCTTATCCGAAAAGATCTGAGAGTTGTACTCGCATCAGCAACTGTGCCAGGCTGTCAAGATGACACAGACACACACACACACACACCCGCACACTGACACACACACACACACACACACACACTTGAACACCCAGTCTCGCTGGTTGCATGTTCACTCATGGTCAATTCCGACTCATCAGCGAGTTCAATGACTCCGATGAGAAAACTTCAAAGAAAGCGTTGCCGGTGGGGCTTCAATAGGCTCTGGTTTCCTTGCTGATGTTTACTAAAGAAGAAAAAGCCAAGGGTCCTGAAGCATTGCACAGCGAGTATGTGAAGAATGTAGCATTGCACGGCTTGTACTGCAAAGGATGTCACAAACACATTGGCAGGTACGTGGATTGAGCGTCCTCAATCCATTTCACGACAAACTGGAAAGGTCTTCGTTGGACAGTGCCTTCCAGAATGTCCACTGTCCCTTGACCGATGTTGGGTGAAATTTTACATTTTTAATCTATGTTGGGGTGTTACCTGTGCACATACTACATGCATATGTATATACATATATATCTTATATATATATATATATATACATATACAGAACTATTAACTGAATAGTATATGCACTAGCATAGTTAAGCAATTCTCGAATGAATCTGCCCTACTTGCTGCCTTAAGCTCTCCTTCTTCCTGTTCGCTGAGCCGTGCGATCTCCTGCTGGGCGCCCCAGTGCGGCTAGGGCTGGGGTAAAGGGTGTTAGTTGGTTTCGCCCTTTGCGGCGTTAAGGTTTCGCCCTTTGCGGCGTTAGTCGCCCTTCGTGGCGTTAGTCGCCCTTCGCGGCGTTAGTCGCCCTTCGCGGCGTTAGGTTGTGGTTTCGCCCTTCGTGGCGTTAGGTTGTGGTTTCTGGGTAAGGGGGTTTGTTAGGTCAGGGTTAGCAAGTTAGGTCTTCGGGTTTGTCAATCAAGGTCGTCGGTGGGTTTGGGCTGGGGTTGTCATCCTGTCACTATGTAGGGTTAATTATTATTAAGTTTACCTAAGGGGTTGCTGTGGGTCCTGGGTAATACTTAAGTGAGCCCTTGAGATCCCAAGCCGATTCAAAGCCAAAACTCAACCTAGCGATGAGCAATACTTCATAAACAGGGTTCCTTCAGCACACAGCAGGCGACCACCTTGACAAGCCAAAGCCCCAACCCGTCGCCGAGACACAGCGACTCCGCTCAGGTCCGAACCATGGCTTCGACTCCGCTGGCTCCGACGTCATGCAGTTTCGGAGGACTGATGGATTGCACTTGATTTGCAGTGGCATGCAGCTTCAGCCGTAGGGTCTAGCGTCTATGCCGGTGACTTGGTTATTGGCCCGAGACTGCCACCTTGGTTAGATTGTGGTGGGGTTTGTGCATATTGTGTTCAGGGTGTTGAGGGTTCAAGTTAGGTGTGCAGGGTTGAGGGTCCCAGGTGTGCTCAAGGGTTTCAGGGGTGGTGGCCGTAGCCTTCAAGTGAGGCTTCAACTTCCTCGTCCTCTAATAACGAATCACATCTCCTAATTGCCGAACTTTTGAGCTGTGCGACTTGCCTGTTGACTCTTCGCTGCCATGGGCTATGGGCACTGGAGAGACCTCTATCATCAGGGTCGTCGCGGCGGGCACAACCGCCACAGGGCGCTGGCCAAGCCGAAGGCACGGGGTTGTGTAGGGCAGGTGAGAGTTGGGGCCTAGTTTAATTTAGTGTGTATAATACAGTAATGGTTGGAAATTACAGACAGGCGGCCCCGGCTGCTGCTGCTTGGAACCATTTGATTAGTTCCTTTTGTTGGATAAGTGACACTAGTAATTGTTCTTTACCGCAAGTCAAGCACCAAATCATAAACTCCAAACTTCAAAGGTGGTACCACCTCGGCCGCCTGCAGATGCAGCTGTCGCTGCTGCTTTGCATATGGCCTATGCCTTCGCCCAGGTTTGTTCATGGAAGTTCAATTTCGGACCCTGTAGTGCCCTAGCAGCCCTAACACCGAACCCAGTAGTAACATACTTACTCGCATCTTGCTTCCCTGATTGAGGCGGTCAACGAGGCAGAGGCACCGGAGGCGGCGGCACCTGCGCAGCCAGTGAGCCCTGGTGCTCTCTCGAGTTCGAGCAGTGGCGATGCTGATGTCCCGGCGGTGCCGGGGCCGGCCGAAGCCGCGGCGCCGGCCGAAGCCGCGGTGCCGGCCGAAGCCGCGGTGGTGGCTGGGAATGAGACTTGGGCTCAAGCTGCATCGAGCTTTTAATTATGATGCTTTGAGGCATGTTCAGTTGAAGTGGGTTCTCTTATGACAATGCCCTGGGCTGAGGACAACAGCATGCGCATATATCCCATTCCCAATGTGGTGGACCAGGTTGAGCTGTCTGGCGGTTGGTTCTACGTTCGGTCAGCGTCTGGAACGGAGTATTATGTCAATCCTGAAGGCCAGGTCAGTACGACACGTCGCCCAGTGCTGATGCACAGAATCTCGCGGACACCATTGCCGGGCGAAGAGGCTGCGTTCCCATATCAGCTGTGGTCACGATATCTGCAGGAGGGTCCGGATGAGGAGAGATACTTTTGGTACAGTCCGCAGACTGGTCGGACGGCTCCTTTTTCTGCCTTCGAGCCTTGGACTGGATTCATCAAGACTATAAGAACATCCTTTGAGGCTCTCGTACACAACTGAATTTATAAACTATTCAGCCCAATGACCAACATCTCAGGAAGCCGAGATGCGGGTTGCGGCTGAACAGTGGCGGCTCCAGGAGCGGGCGCGGCGGGAGGCGGAGGATGAAGCCGTGAGGGTATACGTAGAGGCCAAGAAGCGGCAGCGGCGGGGGCGTTGATTAATAGCATAGCAGCACCTTAGAGTCACTATAGTGCATATTATTTCAACACTGCTGTGGCAGCTGCTTCAAGGGCCTCTTGGAGTCTCACCTGGTTGCCTTGGCAGTGGCGGCAGATGAAAAAAGCAATATTTGTCGTCGTTGCCTGTGCTTCCTCACTGCCCTGGTTGTGCACCGATTGATTTCCTTTGCCGTGAGGACGCTTTCTTCTGCGATCATTTGGCTTTCGTGCTATCCTCAGCTTGCCGTTGCAGCCGCTGGTAGGTTGTCGTTTAGTGCAATGATTCGGGATGCAGCGTCATGGTGTGTAGTCTGATCCTTCGGGCGAGTTGATTGCATTGAGGTCGCAACACCGGCTACATTGGGCATGCTGCTATGGCAGCTATGGAGATGCCTGGGCCTTGTCGTGCCGAGATTGTGCAGCTTAAGACTTGGATGTAGGAGGTCCGCCGTTGGTTCTTTGTGACATGTGGTTGGGATTGCCCTTTGGCACAGAATTTTCCATGAGCTCAGTTGGCACCCAACTGGTTAAAGCGCTGATTGGTGGCAATATTCTATGGATAATAGACTCATAATGGATATTAGCCGGTTCTTGGTTTGGGGTTCAGGTCTGGGATTTCAAACTTAAGCAACTTGTTCTGAATTTCACTCTTGCTGTGAGGGGGGTGGGATATCGATGCGGGTCTTTCTGAGCAGTATTCGTCTGTCTGATCCAAGCCAGCCCCAGAGACCCTAAACATAAACAGAAAGTTTAAGCCCTTAAGCCTGGATCCTAAACCCTAGATCCCAAACTGAGGCTTGTCCCAGTTGCGAGAACATAAATCCCAAATTGGTAAACACAATTAAACCCTAAACCTTAATAAATACCTGGAGTATGACTGTGCAGCTGATGAGCAATGGTACCGACCCAGTTCAAAGTAGGCGAATTCGGCTAGGTCCCTTGTATACCGGTTGGCTGCGATTCTATACTGAAGTCATGCCTGCAGCCTGTCAGTATAGAAGGCACACCGGTGGGTATAGTCTCCTAGTATCATCATTATGGGCATTATGATTAGAGCGCCATATACACTGGTAGATGTGTCAGCTATACCGGAGGCTATTGCTCTGTGATTTCATACATATTTCTGTTTGAGCAGAGTAACTCATGTTCATCTCGCTCAGGCCCGGTGCATTCGACGGCTCGGAGTCCCAGCTCTCGCATTGCTGGGTTTAGGAGTTTAGGGGGTTTGTCGTCCCAACCCCTGCCTTTTCTTGTCCGCGTGGTTTGAAGGGCTTGGTTTAGGTTTGGGGTATAGCTTGGTGGTGTTCGTGTCGGTGGCGTTAGGTCGGTTGGGTTTGGAGGTTAGGGTCGGCCCTCCTGCTTTTCATGCTCAGGCTGCAGCTCGAAGCTTTCGACGACAGCGTGCTGAGCATGTGCCCGGTGCCATTTGTCGTGCTTATTTGCAACCCTCAACCCTAATTTCTGAACCCTCCAACCCTAAATCGGGAATCAAGCCGTGCCTGCTTTGTGTGAGTGTGCGAGTCCAAATCGGGAATCACATTCGGAAGCTAGCTTGTGCGATTCGGCTGCTGCTTCATCTCCGAGGGTCGTACTTAAGGGTTAAGGGTTGAACCTGATCCTAGCCTGCGCGATTCGGTAGGGTTTGGGATTTGGGGTTCATCATCGGTCTCGGACTAACTCCTGCTTGCCCGTCCGTCCCTTCGACAGCAGGGCTGAGGGCTGTCTTTCCAATACTGTTTCATTCGGCAGGGCTTAGGCATTCCCCGCACAGGATTCGGATCATGGAGACATGCATGGATCATCGAGACATGCATGCAATGGCAGTCAATCCAAGAATGCTGTAAGCCGCACATAGTATTCCTCTAATTGTGCTCTCGCCAACGTTTCACACAATGGATACAGAGGATGCTCCTTGGAGTGAGACCAGCCGGCTGTGCCGCCATCATCTCTTGAGATGCCAGCGTGGCCATGCCAACTGTGTGCGGTGCTTTTTCGCTGCAGGCCCGAGCTGCCACAGCAGCACATCAACCGGGTTTGTTAAACTTGTGATTCAGGGTTCTTATCTTCCCCTGGGGATACTGGTGCTTCCCGACATCGGGGCATTCGTTTAATGAATTGGTGATCCTTCGCCCTAGTATCAAAGGTTTTAGACTTTAGCCTGCGTGGCAGGATACCTGGGAAGATTGCGCAA